GCGCTGCCCCACTGCGGGTACGCCTGTAGTTCCGTTGATGCCACTAGCGCAGTGTCTGGGAGCCTGACTTGAGCTACCCAGCCCGTCTCGATGGCTCCTGCGAACCGTCAGGCTCGGCTATGCGATTCAGTCACCCGGCGTCCCCCCCCCCAAGTTCAGTGGCATCCACTTCACAACAGTGAAGGCGGCCGATGGTCCTGTCTTGCGGGCGGAGGTCGCAGTCCTACTGGCAAAGGATGCGATAGAGCCGGTCCCTCCAGCCGATATGTAGACGGGGTTTTACAGCTCCTACTTCATTGTACCCAAGAAAGGCGGTGGGTTACGACCAATCTTGGACCTGCGTGTCTTGAACCGGGCCCTTCACCGGTTACCATTCAAGATGTTGACGCAGGAATGCATCTTCGGGTACATCCGTCCCTGAGATTGGTTTGCAGCGGTCGACCTGAAGGACCCGTACTTCATGTGTCGACCCTTACGCACCACAGACCATTGCCGTGGTTCGCGTCCGAAGGACGAGCATATCAGTACCCAGCAGAGCATGCTGGAACAACAAAACAGCTTGTCTACCATCACTGACACCCAGTTCCACAAGAGGAATGGTAGGTATGACGAAGATTACTCGTCTTATCAAGAACCCAAAAAGCCAATCATGGGTTACCCCACCAAGAGTCTGACACAACGTCGCCCCCTGTCTGCACGGAGCTACAGCACAGAGACATATGGGGCATCTCAGGCAAGACCAGTGTCTGCCCGACCCACCATGGCTGCACTGCTGGAGAAATTGCCTTCAGATTACAATCTTAGTACATGCATTGAAAAGAGCCCTGAAGCAGACATGAAGATGAGACCTGTCCTTCAAAAACAAGAGGACCCGACCTCCAAAATGCCAGTAGATTGGAGACAGCAGCTGCTTAGACACATAGAAGCCAAGAGGCTAGACCGGGTGAGTAAGCAAGCTTTGCTTTTTGTTCTTCTATGTAAGTGTTTGTTGGCTTGGACTTTATACAACCTCTCGGGAATTTTCAAGAAATAAATTCTTTTAAAATGTTTAATTCTTTTAAACCATTCTTTTATTCTGTCTTTATGAAGTCATTATATATTTGTTAATAATTGTTGAGATCTCAATAACCAATGTTCTCAGTTTAGTTTTGTATTATGTACTAATATGATTTTATTATAACAAGGTATATCTTACTATCTTATTAAGTGACTACATCTTTCAATGTTTTATATAATATGTTTGGATAACACATTACAGACAAAGCTTAAATGAAGGCTTTTTAGTGAATAGACTCATGAACAGTGAGGTGAATCTCATGTGAACCATCAAGAAATGTCTGGGACATATTTCACCCCAAAATCAAAAGAAAAGAAAAGGAAACTATATTCTGTTCTAAGGTTTCGGTTTTTTTTGACATTTTAAATTTTTATTATTTTATACAAATTAAATCAAATTCTACCCTTTCTCAATAACATTATATTTGAGAGTAAAAAAAAAATCTATATTTTTTTTAATTAAAATTAATTTTTACATTATAATAATATAATTATAAATTTTTTTCACTTTATGATAATGACTTTTTTCACATTAAAGTAAGGAGATTTTTTTCTCACTTTTAGTGATGATAATTATGAAGGAAAATTAATTGACCTGAAATTAATTGTCACAATACCAAAAATCCTCAAATGGCTTCAAATTCTTTCTGCAAAATATAAGTTCTTTTTTCTTTTTCTTTTTTTTTTTTTATTGGGGTGGAATATAACCCTGAAATTTATTTCCTGAGATTTACCCAGTTATGTACATGCACCATTGTTGGTGAGCCTTTGTTTCTGTGTAAGTGGAATACAGTACTACAGCATACTTCATTGTTCACAGAAATTAGTCCCACACTGCTGCTATTTTATGTAAATGTAACCACTGTGGATCACTAATGTGTCACGTGGGCAGTAATGACGTACTGTTGTTGTTCTGTTTGTCAAGCTTACTCACTCTGTTACAGCAATGTGCAGTCCAGTGTATCCCCAGCCACAGCCTTTTGACCTTTCTGTGTGGCACACCCATTCACTCATGTCATGTGGTTGTTTCCCTCCAATCAGAGCGCTGTCCTTAAGCACAACACAGTAAACTTCGGCATGCTGTACTCTGGAGGCTATGCTGCACCGCATGCCAGCAGAAGCATGACAATAAACTTTTACAATAACACAAAGCATGAAAACCAAACAACTCAGTGGCTACCTCTACCAAATGTGAGTATGAAGCAACTTCAGCCCCAGTTTCAGCATGAAGAAGTCCTATGGAGACCTTTTTTTAGATCTCTCTTTTGAGCGGCTTCTGCTTTAACTTCTAAAACAGTGGTAATATAATCATTTTGGCTCTTTGTTATGTACACTATAATAGCCTTTCTATAAGGCAGACCATCTAATACATTTCACAGTTTAACACTTATCAAACACCACCTGTTCTGAGTTCCAGGCTAGACACTGTCTCTCACTGTGATGTTAAACATATATAGGTGTTTTCTGTTGCATGTGCTCAGTCTTTGTGTTTGGTCTATGCACTACAGTCTTCCTCTGTCTTTAACTCACAGAAACAAAACTATCTGTGACCAACAGCAGAGATACATTTATGAAAGGCCTTCTTGATCTTTATAAAATACAACCAAATGTCAAATTTAGTCAATCATGCTTAAAGGGTTAGTTCACCCAAAAATGAAAATTCTGTCATTAATTACTCACCCTCGTGTTGTTCGAAACCAGTAAGACCTTCGTTCATCTTCGCAACACAATTTAAGATATTTTTGATGAAATATGAGGGCTCTATGACCCTCCCATAGACAGCAAGGTTACTACTACATTCAAGGTCCAGAAAAGTACCAAGATGATTGACAAAGTAGTCCGTGTGACATCAGTGGTTCAACTGTAAAGTTACGAGAATACTTTTTTGCGCAAAGAAAACAAACAAAAATAACAACTTTATAAAATAACGCCACACGCTCGCGTCATGATACTGTCGTATTTTTGTTTTCTTTGCGCAAAAAAGTATTCTCATAGCTTCGTAACTTTACAGTTGAACCACTGATGTCACTTTAAACAGTCAGGGGTGAATTCACTAAATATTGACACCAGTGCACAGTTCACCAACCTCCATTCACTTATTCACCAACAGGTGATTGGTGAATACTGTAAGTGAATAGAGAATAGTGAACTGCACAAATCGAGTTCAGGCAGGTGCTGAATTAGCTCTGTGCCATGAGTTTTTGTAATTTATTTTAACGCAAACATGCCTTTTTGTAAATTCATTTCAAATTAGTTTCAGCATTCTTTCAGCATTTTAAAGTCTCTGGATTGCAGTGGGATATGCTTGTTGCAGGAAGTTAGTTGAACAAACTCAGAGTAGGTTTAGAGTTGACAAAACCAAAAAAAAAAAAACACCCAACCTGGTTTAGATCAAGTTCAGCGGGCGCACAATGCTGGCTATAAATGTTCTGTCAACTCAGGGTTTGTCCTGAGTTTATAATTAACTCTGGAGTGTTAATAATTCTGAAGTTTAAAAAATTGTTATGAAAAATATTTTGAATTTAAATGCATTTACAAGGCAGAAAGAAACTCCGCTGCTGCCACGGACATTTGGGAATGGTAGTTGAAATTAAATATTCAACAATTTCAATGGGAGTGAATCAATGGAATTTAATTTACTTCACAAAAAGATTCAAAGAAAAAATTTGTGTTGCACCATTATCTAATTATCATTGTTACTTTAATGAATTGGACACAAAATAAACAATGCTAAAAAAGGCCCAAAAGCCCTTTAATAGATGAAAGCAAGTGAATGGAAAGCTGATGAATAACAGTAGTGAACTGATAGTGTCCTTCTCAGTCTTGGTTCTTTAAAACATGTACATTTTAGAGCACTGTTTTGAATTCTGTTTGCTGACAGCACCATATCCTTTCAGACACCTTCACAACAGAGCAATATTTTAGATAATGGACAAGAGGTGGTTTCCCTGAATAGCCAGTGGGCCCCGTATTCACTGGGACGAAGAGACGTGCCACCAGAGAACATGAATGTCATCAAAAAGGTATTGATTATGATTATGAGTGTGAAAGAGAATTTTTTTATTCTATTTTTTGATACAGGATGGTTTTCTTTGTCATACTGATTGGTCAAAGATCAATTAGTGTTACAAATAGTTCTTTACATTAGCTGTGTTAACCGGGCAGTAAATACAGTAGGCTGGGCAGTAAAATTTAATATGTTTATGATAATTGTAAATATTAAACCACTGTAAAACATTTAAACATACTTTTTTATTTGACCATTAAGTTTCCTAAAGACCACATCATTAGTTTTATTTCAGTGAATCGATTTATAATTTATTCTGTGATTGACTGAAGTGTAAGTTTGACATTTAAGTTCAATTAAATTGTTCTAGTAAAAATAAATAAATAAAACTGGTGTCTGTAAAATTCAGGGTAAAATTCATACTTTTATTCAGCAAGGATGCATTAAAGTGACAGCAAAGATTTATAATTTTACAAAATGTTGTTTTGTTTTTTTTTACTTTTCTATAAAATCTTGAGCACAACCATTTTCAACACACAATAAGAAATGCTTCTTAAATCAGCAAATTAGAATGATTTCTGATCCAGCTTTGCCATCACAGGAATGAATTACATTGTAGAATATAAAATAGGAAAACAGTTATTTATGTGATAATCTATAGTAACACTGTAAAAATATGAAATATTATTGTAATATCAAAATATTACTGTTTTACTGTATTTTTGATAATAAATGCAGCCTCTGTGAGCATAAAAGACTTAATAAAATCTCAAGCTATATAAATATATTACAGTATACATGTATATACACAATGCAAAAATAAAAAATATATCCTGTAAAATTATCACTACCTGAAAAAAATGTCCCTGCAAATGTTTTTTTTTTTTTAAATAAGCTGTGCCGAACTGAAATGATTCATTGTATTTGTCTGGATCTCATTATAGTTTTATTATTTACACAATGCATTTTTTAGAGAGACACCCACATGTCTCAAAGTATTAAACCCTGACATGTTTTTCTCTTTAGTTTCTACAGGCTTACAGGCTTAACCTGTTCTCTGTGCAATAGACATCTCTGTTGTATCGTGATTGCCATGTTAATTTTTTCAAATGCCAGGGTTAATTACTACCTGCAGTCGTGATTCATTTCACAATGCATGTTCCCGCTCGGTCTCCTTAGCAACCTCAGTCTATCTGTGAATGTCTTTAGGTTGTCACTCAATATTATGGAACATTTTGCTTCTGCTGACACATTTAGTGTTGTGAAGAAAAGTCCAATTAAATTAATGCATCAAATAGGGAAATCAAAATGTCATAAGGTCCTGTGTAGCTAATACATGTCTTTGTAGCTGTAATGATAAGAAGGCACTTGCCATTTGTATGAACTCTACTTCATTAAACGTTTGCCTATTGTTTGCCCACAGCCTGGTGTTCACAATCATCCCCATCAACAACAGACTATGATGATGACCTCAGCCACCCCTCCTCACCGGACGGCCCGTGACCAGCAGTATGAGGGGGCCATCAACAAGGTGTCCATCCAGCAGTACCAGTCACCTCTGCCCATGCCCATCACCACCACCAGCCCCCGGCCTCAGAGCGCCCGCTGCTTCATCCAGACTAAAGGACAGAAGAGTATGGATGGCTTTCCAGAGCAGGTACAGGTCATCTCTCAGAATAAATTGAAATAAAATGCCAAGAAATGGACAGTTGCGAATCAAGACCAATCAAGATCCATGTCATGATCATGGATATCAATACAATGTTTCCTTGTTCTTCAAATATTCAGAGGGTTGTTAACTCTGAATCTTCTACTCCTTTTAACTAAGGCTATATCTACTTTAAAGCTGCAGTCCGTAACTTTTTTTTGGTTAAAAATGATCCAAAATCAATATTTGAGCAAGTACATGACCAGCCATCTTGTCAATCTCAATCATTTTATTCGAAAAATATCCAAGGTTAATGTCGCACTCAAAATCGCTATTCCATGTCTGAATTGTATGGAAGCCCATTTCAGTCAATAACTTAAAAACAAAACAAACAAACAAAAAAAAACGTAATTGCAACTTTTCACAATTTGAATTGGTTTCTCACAATTCTGAGAATAGAAAAAACATCAGAATTGCGATGCAGTATGTAAACTAAAAAATCTGACTTTTTTCCTCACAATTCTAAGTTTATATCTCACAGTGCTATTTTTTGTGTGTGTGTGTGTGTTTGTTTGTTTCTGACATGAAATAAAAATAAAAAGGATAATTGCAACTTTTTATCTCACAATTCTGACCATTTTTGGACCATTTTCTCTTTTATTTTAAGTTCATATTTCGTAATTCTGACTTGTCCCTCAGAACTGCGAAACAAAAGTAGATAACTTTGCAATTCCTCTTTTTACAGTTTTTTAAAAATTGGTTTGGTACTATTTTCACAAGTAAGGTGTACATTTTCAAAACTCTTAGTACAAAACTTTAAACTGATCACATTTGTTACACCACTAGTCATTCTTTCAAAACCTGATCTCATGATTTCATTGTAGTTGCACATATTTTCATGCCACATAATCATTGTTTCAAAACACAAGATCATTGTGATATGTATTGAGAACATTTGCATTAATCACCAAAACACAACAGTATGATCTTCTTTCAGTTTAGTACTTTTAACAATCAGTTCATTCAAGAGCAAACAATGCAAGATTCATGTTTCAAATCACCTTTGTTGCTGAAATAATTACAGTAATACAGGCAATAACTGTCATGTAAGAAAATACACTTACATTACCTAACTTGCATATCTCACATAAAATCAATAATGTTTGTAAAAGTATTTATCCAGTGTGTTATCAAAAGGTGTGATGAAGGTATGACATGGCCATAAGGTTTTGTGCTAGAACAGAGTTTACTGTCAATGCAGTAAATGTCCTCACTGTGCCATATGACTGAATATTCTAGCTGAATTTTTCAGATCCAGGGTAAGTTATGATAATGTGCAGTCTTTGCCATGGTAATGCTTCTATATACAGTATCACATGGCATAATGTAATGTAAAATGCTGTATTTGATGCCATCTATCTCCCTTCTTCTGATACATCTCTGATCAGTACCTCTCCCTTGTGTCCTGCTGTGTTCACAAATAGCAAAACGCACGGTTTTACAAACGAGGACGTCCTCAAAGGAAGGTTTTAGGTGATTTTGTCAAGTTTTGCTTACTTCTGGGTACCAATTTGTCTCCAAAATATGGTTACAGTAAGTAGGCACACGCACACACTTACAAAATAGTGGTTATCATCTTAGATAAATCACTTTTAGTGTAAAAATAATTCAGTGCATTTGGTTATCCCTAAATTGCAATCACGTTCTATAGAAACTAAATATCTATTAAATATCTAAATATCACCAAATTATTCACTGATTAACCTTAAAATGAGTTAGATTAAATAATAGACACATGTATTAAAATGAATGAGAAGACATGCTAATGAAAAGTTTGATATTAATAGCTTTACGAAAGGCAGTTGCTGTGACTGAAACATTTATATAGATGAAACACTTATTTTGTGTAGTGAAAAGGATATTTTGTGATTGTGTGTATTGTACTAACACAATTGAAAATATGCTGAAATGTTTGAAAAAAGTGCACTTTTGATGATCTGTTGAGATATTAGTACCAAGAGTTTTGAAAATGTACCAATTGCTTGTGAAAATTGCGCCAAAGCAATTAAAAAATAACTGTATTCTGTAACAATGCTTGTATAACCATAGATATCTATGGGTACAGTATGGGTCACATGACTAAACATCATCGTTTTCGAATACCTCCAGTTTCACAGTCCACACTACAACAAGAAAACGGCATTTTCAGATGTATCCACTTGGAAGACCAAAAACGTAGAGAAAGAGATGTGTTCTCAAATGTATCCAGATGAATGCCTTAAACCTGAAATTCTGTTTTATGTTGTCAATAGCTCTGTGTGAGGATTGAGAAGAACCCTGGCCTTGGTTTCAGCATCTCAGGGGGAATCAGTGGACAGGGGAACCCCTTCAAGCCCTCGGACATGGTAAGCCCATTTCACTCTCGTTTTAAAGGACAGAGCATAATGTAATATGCTAATTTCAGCATTTCATTCTCAGAAATCGCATTAAAAACGATGCTTTATATAGAGCAAAATCAAAGCCATCTCTCTTCAGATAGTAAAGTGTGCCTCTCAGTAGTCTGGAAACCTGCACTACTGCAATGCACAACCTTGCACACCAGCTGCCTGCATTACCTGTTAACCTTTTCATGTCTTGGCAACGTTTGGCGATAGTTAAAACAAGTGTTTTGTGACTCAAATGTTGCTGAAGTACATGGAAAAAAAGACATTCTGTTTCCATTTCATGTGTAGCTTTATGTTAGGAATGTGTATTAATATTATACTGTGTTTCGATAGAAACTGTCAATTTGCATAGAAAAGTGTTGTTCTTTTTTCCCCATAAGGTTTTCAACATAGCATAAAGATTGCTTGTGTTGTGTAATGTCGCTTTGGGGTTCTTCTAACAAGTCGAATCCCCGTGAGCCCCGAAGAAATGAAGTAAAGTTTGGTGGACTCTCAATATGTGGCGCCAATAATAAGACTTCATGTGTGTTGACATGGCGCATACTGATGGGTCCCACATGTAATTTAAATCTGTATGCTTTATAATCTCTGCCTTGATACCAGCACAAAAACAGTCACTAACACATACTCTAAAATAAAAAAATAATGAATCTTACATGTTTTGTTTTTCAGTTTAACCTTTGCATTTACTTGTAAAAGGTAATAATTTTATAGATGAAGGTAATTATTTTATAGATTGCCTTTGAATTTATGAGAAAAAAGAGAGAGAAAAACTAAAGAAAATCTAAATCCAGATTAAAAGGCAAAGATTCTAAACCATAGTCACCATGTGGTTCCTAACCTCATATCACTTTTGACTTATAGGGTATCTTTGTTACTAGGGTACAGCCTGATGGACCTGCCTCCAACCTTCTTCGACCAGGGGACAAAATTCTGAAGGTAACACTGTTCTCCATCACATTGTCCCACAAGTTGTGACAATGCATCTTCCGCCACACTGCCAGTGGAGGGCTTTGCATGTGGCATTAAATGTACAGTGTGTATGTGTGAGTGTGTGTGTCTTTGTGTCTCAAACAAGTGAGCATGGACTTCTGTTGTTATGTTTGTCCAACTTTGACGTGGTATTGTCTTGTCTGATGTAAAAGAACAAATTATAATATTTGAAGCCTTATAGTCTTAATAGCCTTAAGTATCGCAAGTAAATTAAATAGCATGAAATGATATATTTTACATTGAATGTGAATTTTATTAATAATATATTACAAAATGAATGGAAATCAGTGAAACAGGCTAATCAACACCACCAACTACCTCAATTTGCTATTTTACTTTTAACTTTGTGATGCAGATGAATCTGGTCTTTTGCTAGTGGAATGTATCCCTTCACCCTTCCAAAAAATAACTTTCTATATATACTATATGCAAAATGTTGGGCTTGGTAGGATTTTAAAAAACAGTAAAAACAGCATGTTCATGTTAGCTTGTTAATGCATTTACGAATGTTAAGTGTTACCAACTACTTATTATCAATGTTGAAAACAGTTGCGCTGCTTAATATTTTTGTTGAAACTGTGATATATTTTTCACTAATTAATCAAAAAACTATTTATTTAAAAAAATGGTAACATTGGAAATTTTTACTATCACGTAAATTTATCAATTTAATGCATCCTTACTGAATAAAATTAAAATTTAGAAAAAATATAAAATCTTACTGATGCCAATCTTTTGAACAGTAAAAAGTAATATAATTAGGAAACTTGTAGAACATTTCCTAAAAAAAAACACATTAAGTGCCAAACGAACAACACCCAAGTCTAAATTGCTATTCAGATAGTATCTGTCTTCCATATTTTGCCAAAGCAAAAAGCCTGGCATTACTGCCTAACTACAATCCAGCCTCTGTGTGCCTAAATAGCTTTCTGGAAAGTTATTGGGCTGTCTGGTTTTGTGTGTAGCTGTCAGTGTATGCCACTAGAATGGCCTGCAGAAAGCAGCTCCTTCTCTTTCCACAGATCCAGAGTGTCTAAAGACCAGCTTCTTTCCACCTTCTCTCCTTTTACAGCATGATCTCCTGTGTGCATCTCTCTCTTTTCTCTCCCTCAGTGTATATCTCTTTATCCTCTTTGAGCTAGGCCTTTTCCTGCCCCCCTCCCTCCGTTCTTCCATGCCTCTCCCAGTTCATTTTGTTTACCATGTGCTTCATTCTTGCATTGCAGGTCAACGGACATAGTTTCTTACACATGGAGCATGAATCCGCAGTGTCTCTTCTGAAGAATTTCCCGAAAACTGTGGACTTGGTAATCTTAAGGGAGAGCACAACATAAATATTTTTATAGCTTAAAGACTTCTCACCCAGATGGAACAACTTGTACATCACCTTTTATCTAGGAACAATTTTGCCAATTGCTGGACCAATGGCAAATTCCAGTGCCAAATGTACACTAGAGGACATATCTTATAACGTTACATACGGCTTACACATTCTACACAAACATACATTGGTTGAAATCTTTCGTTGATGTTGCTGATATTCTTCTTTATCTCAGCCTGTGGCTGTAAGTGGGCGCATTTTTTTCCTGCTTATTTATATGGCGTATTATTTTGTACCTATTTTTCCTAGCAGCTTTTCGGTTTAATCTTGGTGCATGAAAGCACATCTGCTTTTAAGGACATTTACCCACCATAACACTGCCTCAACTTTGTAAATGCCTTGTGTAAATATATACATTTACGACTCAAATGTGATAAGAGTGTAGAATGTGAATGAAAGACGCATTGATGATTTTCTAACACATCGATGAGTTTTTGTAACAGTTTAGAAGAGACATCCTTCTCATGCGAACAACAATTTAGGGAAATCGAAAAAGTCCCCTTTTAATCTTGATAAACGCTAACATTCTGTATTTGCACAAATCAAATGACAGAAAAGATTCCCCAAGCAATATTTCTTCCATTTTTGTGGCTTTCCTGCAGCACCCTCTATTGGTAGTCATGGATTTGTCCTAGCCCAGATCAGGGTGGGTCTTATTCACTGGCTAAGTCATGTGAATGTACATTTCCATGTTTTTTTTTTTATTCCCATGTTCCTTTGTTTGCTGCCAGGAAAATTCATACACATCTGGCAATTTATTGGCAACACAGTTTTCAACATAAAAATGTACTTTCATATCACAATACAGTTTAAGTGAAAGAAAAAGGCAAAAAAGCTTAATTCCAGTTGCTTTGTTGTTGTTACGCTGCTTTAAGGTTTTTAAATATATATATTTTTTTTACGGAATAACAAAGGGAATTCCTGTCATAATAAAACAGACTACATACAGTGTAAACATTTAAAGCTTTACTGATTAGCGCATGCTTTCAATCTTAAACTTGTTTTATTAGGATGCTTATTAGGGGGGGTCAATGTTTTTTGGAAAAACCTTTTACATAAGCATTGTTTTAGATCTCATTTGGCCTCCCACCCCCCCCCCCCCCCCCCCCCCCCCCCACTCC